GCTCAAAAAGAAAACTCCATCCTGTTTAACCATCCTGGCTTTAAATAGTAACTTATTAGCCCAGAAGTAAAGCTTATTCTGTATAATATGAAGTCAGAGCAACTAGCTTGCTAACTAACTACTTACAAGCACGAGTTGCTATCCGTCCATTAAGTACCAAAATCGTCTTCAAACTATTAATTAAACGATAAACTGGAGCAGCAATCATCTGGCGCTTAAATTCACGCGAAATTCCCCTAGCCTCCCTAATCGTTAGAGAAAATATAATTTTGCATTTTAAAAATAAATAAAAATACATATAGGTGTTACTAAACTTTAAAAGTTGATTCACTTCACATAACCAAAAAATGGGCGGAGCTTACAGCGTCCGCCATTTATTGTTTCAATATGACACGATTTTTTGTAAGCTTGCCATCTCCTCTATTTTCTATGCTTAAACGTCAGACCAAAGAGTATAGCATAGAGATATATAAGTCAGTGGAGTATAGTAACCACAGAATACTTTACTCATAGCGGAGATGTTGCCACCTTGGTGATTTTGTCGATTTAGCGACTATTTATTTTATAGCGATTTTTGGGCGATTTTTCAATTTTTAATTTTACAACACTAATTTGAAGCAGAAATCGTTCACTTTCTGGACTTAATCTATTGTCAGGGAATCCCATATGCTGTTCGTTTTGTTTTTTTTATTATTTTATAGTTATTGATGTTAATGTTTTGTCATTCTTTAAATTGTGGTCGTAGTCGATTAAAATGCTTCGTACCAAATTTTAAGATTCTGAATTCACCGGAAGTACCCTGTAGGTTTTGATTCCCTTGCGAATGTCAAAAATTTGCGGCATAAACGGCTGTATCTTTTGATTGCGTTGGCTTAGAAGTTTATTCACAGCTCCAAGGGACAGTAGATTTGAGTGTTTGATATGAAATTCAGCTTGATACCTCCACGGGTTCCTGAGAAAAAGGGTCTTGACAGATAGACAGACAGACGGACAACAAAGTAATCCTATAAGGGTTCCGTTTTTTTGCCTTTTGAGGTACGGAACTCTAAAAATATTCAAATCCAATTTGATTCAATATCTAAAAAAACGCGTCAGTGAAAAATTTTGCTAGCATAAAACGTCAAAACGGGACGACTGTGGATCGTGGGAGTAAGAATAGGAACTGGAAGAAGAAGAAGGAAAAATGGAACTGCCGGCAAAGAAAAAAAATATACGCAAATATAGAAAAGAGTGGGAGGAGCATGATGAATTCAAAAGCTGGCTTAAACCTTTGCCTGGTGACGAACTGAAAGCTTTTTTCTCATTTTGTAAATCAGAATTATTAGCGAAATCAGCGGACTTCAAAAAAACATGCAAAAACGAAAAAGCATAAGCAAAAATTACAAGTAATATCGGGAAATCCAACAATAAAATTCGCAACAGCCGAAAAGTCCTCGAAACCAAAGGCCCGTAAAGCTGAAGGAATGCTAGCTCTTTATATCACGGTTCCGTGTTTCAGTTTCGAATATTAATCATTTAATTGAGATGAGGTAGTTAAATATGCTTTCTCAGATTCTCAAAAGCCACAGATGACTTAAAAATGCATCGTACCAAGTGTACAGAAATAAGTAAAAAAGTAAATAAGTTATTAAAAATGTCTTAGCTGAATACCAGCGTAAAATAGCAGCTTAATGCTGTCGTGTTTCGTATGGTGAGTGTAGAGAACCGGAGTACCTTTTTCTGGGAAAGAGGCATTCCATCTTAGTCCTCAAGGCTGACAACGCATCTGCATTTTGATTCGTAAACGAAGATAGATGTAGATGTCTATGGGCCACAGCAACCACTTACCATCAGGTGGACTGTATGCTTGTTTGTCACCCTATTTCTATATAAAAAAAAGCTCCAAATTTTATCGAAAAACTAGTCAAGGATATAGGACAGCAGAGATTCAGTCTCATCATTGTCGAATCAACTGACATCCGGCATCAACCTCTTTTTTCATTTCATACATGTAATACATAAAAAGTACCTAATTTTAATTAAAAAACTGGTGGATTTCAATCCAAATTTCCAAAATATGGCGACAATTTACTCTGGATCTAGTGACAAGAAAATTTTTGAGGTGGCAACTCTGGACAAGGCTTGTATAGTAAGTAGTAACTGTTACGGATGTGACATCGAGTGAAAAAAATCGATTACTAAAAATCGATTTTTTGCTTTGTGATAATAATTGATTGAGGAAAAATCGATTTTTATTAATAAAATTATCGAGTTTTGCGAAAAAATTATTTTATTCTAAAAAATGCCTGTTTTCCTATATATTAATAAAACTACGAAAGTATAGTATCAACAATTTATCAGAATAAAAATCAAATAAAATGATAAGTATAAAACATAATCAGAAGGATAATTCAAATTTGACGGCTCTGTGGCGCAGTGGCTTAGCAATCAGTTGTTGCACTGGGGGCCGCGGGTTCGAATCCTGCACGGAACAAGTATTTGTATGGCCTACAAATAATTGTTCCGGGTCTGGATGTTTATCCTTGTGCAATTCATATTTGTAAATTGCCTCCACGACACAGGAGAAAATCCTAGTGTGGGGGTAACGTTTTTTAAAAAGTATAAATAAAAAAAATCTACTGGTTTAAATCTACTGGTGGTACTAACGATTTTTTTAACCTATAACTTTAAATAATAAAAAACTAAAAATAATTACTGGCACAAATGCTCAGTGCCATTTAACAATTTATTAGAACCAAAATAAAAAGAAACAACAAATGAAACTAATTTTTACGAATTTTATCGCGATTAATTTATCTTTTTAATTCCCAACGTTTCGGGTGCTTCACAGCACCCATGGTCACGGGAGGGACTGAGGTGTTTGACGTGTAGTCTTCGCGTAAATATAAAAAAAACATTAAGAAACGATAAGTTTAATAAACGATAGTTTTTTAAACTAAGTTTGAACAGACAAAAAGTCTAAATATCATCATGCCATAAATGTTCAGTACCATTTACATTGGATTAGAATGAAAATAAAATAAAACTATAAGTTTAAACAGTCAAACGACAACATTTTGTCTCAAAACTATAATAAATCTTTTTTTTAAACTTTAAGTTTAAACAAAAAAACTATAAATAATTATTGCCATTAATGTTCAGTATCATTTACATTGAAATGGAATAAAAATAAAATAAAAATTTACTAATAAATAATCAAACCACAACCTTTTGGTCTCAAAACTAAAATACAAGACAAATATTTTTTAAACTTGTGTAAACAAAAAAAAGTGAAAAAAATTATTGCCATGAATTTCCAGTTAAAGTTAAAATTCTTCTTCGTCTCTTTCCCAAAATACGGTTTCAATTTTTCCTGACAATATTTCTCACTTTCAAAAATAATCTTTCGGGTGGCGCGGAACTGGCCATCACAGAGAGGTGTTTAAAAGCCAATTCGGTTAGTTTAGGGAAAGTTCCTTCAGAGCTGACATGTTGGCCGCTATCATTTTTTCATTATAAAATACTTCCGTCAGACACTTTTGGACGTTTTACAAGACATTTTTATCGTTTATATGTAATTGTTTACACTAACCAAAGAGAGAAAGAAAACCACAGAATACTTTTACTCCTAGCGGAGGAAGAAAACTGTTGAAATACATACGAAAGACGAAACTGTTTTACATACATAAAGATACATAAAGGTGGCGCCGTCTTTTGATTGACTTATTCATGTTATTGAAATTACTTCACGTTTTCACATCCATCGCACAGATAACTCTGATTATAAAAATCGATTAAAACGTGTAATTTACATAATCGATTTATTAAAAATCAATTTTTATTATAAAAGAATCGTCTTTGATTATTTTTTCACATCCCTAGTAACTGTACTAGACGTGGGTCGTTACGTCATTTTCAAGAAACGTAACGAAACAAGTGACTTGGTCTGCGTCACCTGTTTCAAAACTAGTGATTTTTGTAACTGGCTATTTTTATTTGGCTACTGTGATTGTTTGCATAAATACCACCAAGAACTATACAGTTACACACGAAACGAAAATAAATTTAATCACTATCTAAGTGTTTCTAGCTATACAGTTAAATCAATAAATTAACTTCCCTTCATACTTTATTCAGGCTTAGAACTGACTGCATTAAATGTATTTATGATTGTTTTGTATTTACTATGGAACTAAGATTTTCATAAAATTATTAATGCAGGGGTATTTACAAGTCACTTTGATTGTATATACAATGATTATTGATATTCACAGTTTATTTAAACTTGTACAATCCACACTAATTATATTTATATAATATAATAACAAAGAAACGTTACCGTAAATGTACATAAAACACCAAAATAACATATAAATGTAAATTTTTACAAGATAGTATTCAAAATTATAATTAAGTACAACGATGAACTAAAACAAACTAAATTATTTTACTTAAATTCAATGTGACTATCGCTTCCCGGAATTGCAAACCGTTGAAATTATTTACAAACAGAGATCACTCTATTTATATTGTCTACATCTATAGTCTTACGTATGAAAATTAAACGTACAATAATACTGTTACATACGCTGTTTTGTTTATTGTTGTATGCCACATGTGTACTTTGCGCTTGACCGACCGACAGTCGACTCTCGCAACAATCACATTCCTGTATAGGACAGTTACTATACTCTTTGATCACAGTAATAACGCATTTACAAAAATCACTACTTGTAATATGACTCGAAACTAGTGATTCGGTTACATGCCGCGTAGCCAGTTATTGTAACTAGTGACGTGAAATAACGCCCACGTCTAAACTGTACTGTCAGACTCAGATGTCAATTCAGTCCAGTTTACACTTCCTTATATATTACTATACTCTTTGAGTTTACAGTTAAGATTTGTTTTTATTCTGTTCTTAGATTTCCAACTTATTTATATGTATATAATATTTACCTTTACCTCCATCCTTTCAAAGAGTAAATAAATCACTACTACGTTTAAACTTTATTTTTAACATGGCTCCAGTAAAGTTATATCACTTTCCCTTAAGTGCACCTTCTCGAGGTGCGTATTTGGCTGCCAAAGCGATTGGGCTTTCTATTGATATCGAAATTGTAGATTTATTCAAGAAAGAACAGCTCAAAGAAAGTTTTATCAAACTAAATCCGCAACACTGTGTACCTACATTAGATGATGACGGTTTTATTTTATGGGAAAGTCGAGCTATTGCGTGTTATTTATCCGACAAGTACGGAAAAGACGATTCTTTATATCCAAAAGACTTAAAACGTCGTGCCGTAGTGAACCAGAGGCTGTATTTTGATAGTTCATTCCTGTATGTGAAGATAAGAGCGATATGCGTATGTTTTTACAGACTACTAGGGGTTTCTTGGTTATATTATTATTTAACTTCTTTTGCTTAATTAACATTAAGAACATTCATAATTGTTATATTCATAATTGGCATATTATATTTAACATAAATATAACTTTACACTTATAAGCATGTGATAATCATGATGTAATACTTAATATTATTTTTATAAGAGTATAAATAATGATTTTGGAATCTTTGAATATAAAAACATTCTATAAATACTATGTGACCAAAACAATTAGTGTGAAAATGTGAATTAAAAAATCTTAAGCTTAATATTTAGAAACAATGCACTTGAAATTTTGTAATTTATTACTTTGTTTCTTCATTAATTCAGCATTTATTTTCATGTATGTAATATAGGTAAATTAACCTTTTTTTCAGTATCCCATACTTTTTCAAGGTGTCACAGAAATTGCAAAAGTGTTAAAAGATGACTTAAATACTACTCTTGGATTTCTTGATAAATTTTTGGATAACTCTAAGTGGGTAGCAGGTGATAATTGTACAATTGCAGACACCTCTATTTATGCATCTCTGTCTTCAATACTGGTGAGTTCCTGATTTCTCTTTTGAGGTATTCAATTATCAAGTAGTGCATCCATTGGTTGTAATAAAGGTTGAAATTTAGAATTGTTTGGCAGGAGGAGGGGGCAGGGGTTGAGGGGATTGGAAGGGGGAGAGTCCCCTTACGCCTGACATGACTCCCATTAAAAGGTAATACACCGTTCTTGAGAAAAATCAAAAAGAAAATGCCATAGATCTAACCTGAAAGTAACATTTATCGTCTCCGGCAGGAGGGGGAAGTGGGTAGCAGGAGTGTATAGTGTGTATCAGGGAAAGCCCCTCTACCTTTCCCTCGTTGTGGAAATGTATAGTTTATGAGTAATGTTTTTTTTGTAAAATCATAACCTCACTTTTTACACAGGAATATTGACCCAAAGTTACTTCTACAACGGCTTCGGCGCTGCGGGAAGTGCAGCCCTTGCGGCAGCAGGTGGGGGCTGCTCTCCCTTCACGGCTACGGCTTTACAAAAACACTAGGAGTAGCGCAGACAAGACTACGTGGAGTCGGGGCGTGCTGGTTTAATTTCAGTAGATTCAATTAGATCAGATATCTATAAAGTCAGGTTGCCTTTGCCCCCGCCACAACCTTCTAACCTATTACAACTGAAATTATTTCTGGGTGTTCAAGTATTTCTGGGCAGTTTTAAACAATTCAGAAATAAAACAGTATATTATAATCATTCCTTTATTGTCTGTAAACATAATTTTTTTTATTAATTCCTCAAAAGGATCTCTTTTATTCCTTATAATTTCTCTTCTCCATAAATATACATATATTAAGTCGGTAAAATTTTCTCTATTATTATAGTTGTCTTTAGCGAAATATCTCTTGACAGAGAGTATAGATAGTAGAATAATGTGACACTAGTCTTACGTCCTTGTCGCACTTACACAAAATTCTGTATGCTATCCAGCAGTAATTTTTCCATGTTTTACGCATTTTAGGTTATAATAGTTTTTATTTATTTATTCGATAACGGTGCATTACCTTTTAATGTGAGTAGTATTATTATAATCGGGGACCAAATCTCTACCAAGTAACACCTTACTCCACCAAAATTGGTGCCTAACAATTCTAAATCCAACCCATAATAAAAGTTGACTTAAGAAAAATTTATAGTTTCCATATGCTTCCATTTTATGCTCACATACTGTGAGTATAAATTACTATGTACTATAGTTAAGAATAAATGGATGTAAGTATAGACCTTCAGACAGACCTTTGTTTCATTTGATGTGTAAATTATATTTTATTATGATAGACAATTAGTACACATGTAGCAGTTACTTTGTACTTAAAGAGAGACTGATGCCCAGATGTGGGCTTCATAGAATTAAAAAGAAGCCTCTTTTACTAACATTTAATTATAGCAATCTTCCTTTGACAGCACTAGAAAAAGCTGTTGTTTTTTGTTCATATTTGATTTCTTTTAGCAAAAGTAAGAAAAACATTTTTTATAAAATTGTTTCTTTTTATAGGCAGTAGGTTGGGACATATCTACATTCCCAAATATCCAAAGATGGTTAAAAGAATGTGAACAGCTACCTGGTTATGAAGAAAGTACTGAAGGGGCTAAGCTATTTGGAGAAGCTGTAAGGAAAAACCTCAAACAAAAATAAAATATTTATTATTTTTTGTAGAAGTAACTTTCTATGCAAATAAATTCATTTATACTAAACAATTATTGCTTAAATATGGCCTTATGTACAAAAAGATAAAAATAAGAATAATTTATGTGTTCAATGTATTATATTAATAATTAAGTTAATTTGTTTTTACTAATCAATACCTAAAAAAAATTTACATCATAAAAAATAAAATAAATAATAATATATATGATAAAAATAGTATAATTAGTAATATTTATTTTTAACCTAAATAAGGAAAAAATGTATTTATATATAGCAATAAAATATCAACATTATTCACTGACAACACTGTATTTTTGTCCTTCTCCATTTTGAACTTGGCACATGAGTTAAGAAACCGTACCATACAGAGACAAAGCTTCATACAATCGTGCTATGATAGTTACACTACTACAAACTTGAGGCATGTGTGGCTCTGCACTGGTGGCTCGTCACTTACTGGGTGAAACTGCTTTAAACCGGCTCGACCAATGCTCAAACTCTGAGTGATATAAAGAGTAATACATGGCAAATTTTGCTTTTTAGACAATTATTTGTGTCAAATGATATATAATAGAGTGAAAATATGGTTTACTGTACTGTTTGTATAAACAATAGTAGAACAAAAAAATATTATTCTTTAATTCTCCCAAAGATTCCACTAGGTAAGTAGTAACTTGACTATAATTTATTATTTTTGATGTGTTAGATAGAAACCTCATGCATATACTTCAATATTAACTACTTATCTACCTATAAGTGGTTGAATATTTATTTTTATAATGTTTATAATTTAATACATAGGTATGTTTTAAATTATAAACTGTTTGTTGTTTATTTTTTATTATTATTTCAGAGAACAAGAATGGTTAAAAGATGTCGGACGAGAAGATCTCCTTCCAAAACTGAATCGAAGGATCACTTTGAAAAATCCTGTATTTTCTAAAAATGAACTATAAAATATTTTTATTTGGAAATGCTTTTCCAACACTCAACTTGCTGACAAATGATAGTGCTTGTTTGTGTTCCAGCCAATGTGAGAGAATATATCTGAAATGAATGTATCAATTGCTAGAGCAAAAATTTTGCGAATATTTTGATCTCGAAAGAAACATGGTAAATATTGGTAATGAAATATTAAAACATGTGCACAAGACTATATTTGTTATGCCAATCCATTCCAATAGATTATTTTAAAAAATTACATTAGATTTCGAATTTATCATTTAATTAAAAGGCACAACTAATTGTTAAAGAACAAAAATTATAAAAATAAAATATTTAGAATAAGTAGTTTGTTATCTTAAGTAAATATAGCTGATAAACATTTGTTTATTTAATTTTATCCTCTTGTACCAACCCTACCAAAATAGGTAAAAATTTTGACAGCTCCTTAGAAGTGGCTATAGCAAATTCATAAAGTGTACTTAATTAATAAATCCAGTTTTTACTGGTTCAAATATTCTTAGCCTGTTTTATTTAACAACTAAAAAGAAAAGCAAAGTTTAAAACAGTGATTTTATTATGTTCATTTCACTTATCCTAATTTTTTTTTCAATAACAAACATTAACCCCTCTGTAGATTTTTTTTTCTTTATTATGGTGGTATTTAATTTTAAAATAATGATTTAACTGGCTGGATTTAAACTAGTCCTAGTAGTTATTTCTTAGCTCTTCTTAAATGAATTCAGCCAATAACATGTCAGTAGATCTTGGTTTAACCTATTTTATTTAAATCCAGGAAATATATTTCCAGTTGATACATCTTTCTAATTTAATTTTTATAGAATTTTAAAACTAACTGATCCTCATTTCTTACTCTTCGTCTCATAACAATCTCTGATTTGTAACCGTATTTCAACATTATAGTAATCACTTCATTTGGAATGTTTTCTTCAATTAATAAGAGGTAAAAGATACCTTCATCAGTTAGTATCTTTGGTATCATATCTAGTAGTCGGTCTGTAATTTCTCGACCCTTTACCCCACCTGCCCAACTAGCAGTTATATCACAACCTCCACATTCTTTTGACTCTGTCACAACATATGGTGGATTAAATATAATAATATCAAATTTATTTCCAATAAATGAGCTAGCAAGGTCCATATTGACAGTCTCCACTGAAATATTATTATTTATAGCTGTACTTTTGGTCATGTCACATGCCTTGTAGTTAATATCTGTGCTAAAACATATAGTTGTTGGAAATGCCATACTGAATGCGGTTATTACTACACCACTTCCTGAACCAACTTCTAAACAAAATGTGGGGTTTTTGTTTTTTAAATATTGTAAATCCTTTTCCAAGGCATCAATTAATAAAAAACTGTCTTCAGCTGGTTCATAAACATAATCATAGTCAGCCTTATCAATGTGGTTTTGCTTGGGAGTCTCCATTAGTTTAATTTATACTCCCTTGGTCAGAAATAACACCACTTGTGCTTTGTTCTGGTTTTATAGCTGGTTCAGACAGTATAGATGCTTGAGTTGGTTTGTCTTTATTAATCATACGCCTTATTTCATTCAATCTATCCTGAAAGAAAAGTAATAACATAATATATAATATCCATAAAAGATATTAACATCAATGTTATAGAAGTCAGTGATATTTCATTGTTATTATTCTTGAAATATATTGATTTAACTGATTTGTTGTGATACCAATTTTCGACAAATTTGGCTGTGGCAGCGAACAAACATTTCGTGACACACCTGTCGTGTCAAGTGCCATAGAAGTCAATGACAAGCCTATTGTGCCATCAGCCATTGTTTAGACCTGATTAAGTTTAGTTAACATTAAAAATCAGTTGTAAACGGAAGGATACTTGTTTTTAGTGGCTAACTGAAATGAAGAGTAGGTGACTTTTTCTATGCAGAGACTACAAACCTTTTGTACTATTTTAAGTTTTATAAAAAAAAAACTTATAATAAGTAGGTACAACTAAATCACCCTGAAAAACCTTGGTTTTTAATAAATCAAATTCTCACCTAATAATAACATTTGTAAACATCAAACAATCATTGATATTTACAAATATTATATATATTAATGTTATACAAAAGTAAAGACGATCTGAAAATGTCTAATGGCAATGTAAATGGCAGATAAACAAAAACTATTTATTAGCAAACTTATTATGCATGAATGTGTTTGAACTGTTTAAAGCAAAAATAAACTTTATACCATATCACAAGAGTACATGGTACTTCGTAGGTTCATTCGGGCATATGATAATAATAAGTCTGCAGTTCAACCATAGTAAGCAAAATTAAACTAAGACAAATGCATTGTTTTTTTTAACAGACTTGTTTTCCAGAAACTTGAGTTTGTGAACAATCGTAATTAGTACTATTATTTGTTACTTATTAGAGTATTTTCCACAACATGATTTAAAAACACAGTAAAAAAGAGTACATGTACAAGTTAAAAAAGGTTGTAAACCTCTATAAATTTCAAATTCTCAAAATATCCAGAAACAAAGCTGTAGGCATTAACTACTTGCAAAATAATGAATATTTTGTTCTGGGTAAATCTTCCAAAAACGCAATTTGAGCAAGTTATTTTTAAAATGACACAACTCACGTTTCAAACGCTACACAGAAAAAAATAATCAGCACTGAATCAGTTAATACTACTATGTATGTATGTATTAATACTACTTTTATTATGTTAAAAATTAAAGTTAATGTTGAAATATAAATTTACCTGTGATGCTTGTAAGACATTAAGTACAACAGTAACTTTGTGTTTACATGCAATCAATTTCTTTACATAGGGATCCAAGTCCGGATGGTTGTTAAGTGCTTCCCGCACCTTAAGCAATTCTTCATTTAATGAATCTATTTGCTGCTTTAATTCCAACTGCGATATTCTTAAATAAAAAATACAACTAATGTAAATGTAAAACAGTATTCAATTTATTTTAATTACTTACTCAGTATTTTTAAATTGTTATATATATATATATATATTATATTATATATATATATATATATATATATATATATATATATATATAATTAACAAATTTACATTTATCTTTCTTTATCCAAGCAAACATTCATCAGTTTATAAATCATGTAACAAATTAATGCTGGATTTCATACCAACTAGCCTTTTACTTTAATCTTATAATGAAAAAATAGTTCCACAGATTTTACCTACCTTGTTGCCCGAACTCTATCGTCTAGTTGATCAACAGTCGGTTTTAGAAGCCCTAATAAACCTTCAGCGAGAGTATCTCTGGTTGGGTTATCGCATAAGTTGCCAGTGTTTTCATCTGCGGACGTTGTTGTGCTTTCCGTATCATCCATTTCGCGCTCAAGACCAAGACACTAATCAAAATTACTCTGCTGTGAAACTAATACCTTAGCTTTACATTATTACAATCAACCAATATAAGTTTATGACCTTATGAAATTAATACACGGCATAGATAAATAAATATGTAGCAAGCTATAACAATAATACTAGGGATATGAAAAAATAATCGATTTTTATATTAATCGATTATTTTTTCTTTAAATCGATTTTTTGATAATAACAATCATTTTTAATAAATCGATTATGTAAATTACACGTTTTAATCGATTTTTGTAATCAGCGTCATCTGTGCGAAGGATGTAAAAACGTGAAGTAAGTTCAATAACATTAAGTCGATCAAAAGATAACGTCATCTGCGCGACAGATGAAAAACGCGAAGTAAGTTCACTAACATGAACAAGTCGATCAAACGATGGCGCCATCTGTATTTATCTAAAACAGTTTTGCCTTTCGTACAACAGTTTTATTTCTCCGCTAGGAGTAAAAGTATTCTGTGGTTTTCTTTCTTTTTTTGTAGAGTATAAATAATTGTTAAACAATAAAAATGTCTTGTAAAACACCTAAAAGTGTCTGACGAAAGTATTTTACAATGAAAAAATATTAGTAGCCAACACGTCAAAGGGCAAAAATACTGAATCGGACTTATCTATTGCAGCACTACTATCAAATCTTAAGGCAGATACCCTCAATATATAGAGAAGCTCTGAAAGTACTTTCCCTAAACTAACCGAATTGGCTCTTAAACACCTCTCTGTGATGGTCAGTTCCGTGCCAGCTGAAAGATTATTTTCGAAAGCGAAAAAACGAAACCGTATTTTCGGAAAGAGACGATGAAGAATTTTGGTAAAATTATTGTTTTTAAACTCTAACTGAAAATTCATGGCAATATTTTTTTTACTTTTTTTTGATTACACAAGTTTAAAAAAAATGTCTTGTATTGTCTTTGAGACCAAAAGGTTGTCGTTTGATTATTTATAATTATATTTTTATTTTATTTTCATTCTAGTCCAATGCAAATGATATTGAACATTAGTGGCAATAATTATTTATAGGTTTTTTGTTTAAAAGTTTGAACAAAGATTTATTTTGTATTTTAGTTTTAAGACCAAAAGGTTGTCGTTTGATTATTTAACCTTATAGTTTTATTTTATTTTCATTCTTATCCAAAGTAAATGGTACTAAACAATTGTGGCAATAATGATATTAAGATTTGTTTGTTCAATCTTTCTTTAAAAGAACTATAGTTTCTTTTATCTTGGTTTTAATAAATTGTTAAATGGCACTGAACATTCGTGTCAGTAATTATTTTAAATTTTTAATTTTTTAAATTTATAGGCTAAAAAATTGTTTTGTAGTTTAGTTTTGAAACCAGATCTTCTTATTTGTCGTCGTTCTGATTATTTTTTATTCTTCATTTACTTACTTCATTTTATTTGATTTATATTCTGATAAATTGTTAATACTATACTAATCTCGTAGTTTTAGTAATATATAAGAAAGCAGGCATTTTTTCTACTAAGAGAATTTTTTTTTTCTCAAAAATCGCTTATTTCTTCTAATAAAAATCGATTTTCCTGAATCGATTAATATCACAAAGGAAAATCGATTTTTTATTAATCAATGTTTTTCACTCAATGTCACATCCGTAATTACAATGTATAATTATCCTTCATAGCACACTGCTTCGCAATATGTTGATGAGTCACATTGTGCAGCCCATGGGAGATTTTAACGGCAACTTGAGCCAGCAGACAACTGACAGTTGGCAATGGTATCTCAAGGCGCCGAAGCATATAGACGCCATATCTTGAGAATTACTTCACCATCAGAGCACTTGTTTCACCGTTTTCACTAATAGTTCACATGCGTAGACACTTAATACACAAAATCGCACCTCTTTTATATATCGGAAATGACAACAGGAGACCCCACTTCTGATGTCGGAGATTACAATAGAGGATCGCAATTTTGATCTCTGAGATACATCAGGATAGCGTTAATTGTTAAAAATAATAAAAGTGTGAGAGCGGATGTTCAACTTGCTCTCTTGCTTACGCAGTTTAATCATTATCAGTAATAAGACAACGTAACGCACTATACATTCAGTATAGTGAAATTACAGTTCGACCACACCGTAACACGTCTCTGCCACAATCACACACCAGTGTAACGTGAGGTACGTAATTACATGATAACACCAAAATATGTAAACCAACAGCAACACTACTTATCTCAATGTAACACAGGGCAGCCTCTCAGCAACACTAATCTTCCTTGCCTGCACTAGAAGAATTACAACAACGAACGGAACCACGACAATATCTTAGCACTAGTCGAATGACCACACCCGTTGAATGACTTGAGCGGAATCTCTCGTGCACGGCACCTACAGTGAACTTTATACTACAGACACAAGAGGGGGTTTCTCGATATACCCTCCATTCTACCTCGTTCCAACCGGGTATTTTATAGACGCTCCGACATATATATCAAAATCCAATTCAAATTTGAACAATAATACAGGAGCAGCAAACCGCCGCCGGTCAAGTTCCCGCCAAAATTCACAGAACAGATAGCAGCACAAACTACTAAGAGGATACTACGTATGATACATAGACTTAGAATCGCAGATAGAGGATTGACTAGATAAAGCATTCGTGTATGCTTTTGAGATAGTAATAGGCGAGAGCAGGGTGATCCAACTTTGTATGAAAGCTGAAAAATCTGCAAACAATCATGATTTTGTCAATGTTTGTTTTGGGCTTGTAAAAATAAAGCGAGAAAAAATATCGTTGTTTCTTTCCTTCATGTTGTTTTAGATTGCCATTTTAAAAATTAGATACACAAATATTATATCGAAAGAAAGTAAAATGTTAATTCTGTGTTAAGATTTTTTTAGTTTGCTCTTTAAAGTATAATTACATACATATTACTCTGAGATTTGCACAATTAATTTATCCATTAATTCATTTAAATTTAATTATTTAATATTAGCAGAATTCAATCAAAAGAAGCCATGAATTAATAGAAAAAGAAAAAAATGAAATTTGTTTGTCAACGTCTTTCATATTGAAGATATTTTCTGAAATTTATTAAAATTTAATTCATAGGTTTAGTTTTTAATATTTATTATTGATTTTTGCTTAAATTCAGTTATTATGGACTTCAATTTCGTATGTAGGTGAAATACACAGCCATAATATCGTCGTGAATATACAGTAAAAACTTTTTGTGAGATGTTAACTCTGTATAAGATATTTAATATAAATGAATTCATTATTTCAAAGTTTTATGCACGATTTGTGATCATCATCGAAAGTAAGTTAAGTGTTGTGCAAATAAGAAGCACAAAATCATCTGATCACTGTCTGCAGGTTTCCTATGATAGGAAAAGAAAAAATTATGACAATATTGTGGTAAGTCTGTAAACATTTTGAACTTATATGCCGTTATTTGTAGGGATTATTACTATATTGACTAAAATTGTATCTGTTTCAGATCACGTATTTGGGCTGAATTAAGTTTTCATCATGAGAATTTTGCTGATTTAAATTTACGTTAATGTTCTGTGAAGAATAACTCTCTGACAATACACCAGTAACAAGCGTGGAAATATTATGTACAAAAGCAATAAAAAAACATCAATAATAATGTTTATTTTATAAAACAATTTGTCTTTCAGAAAATAAAATTACACAACTATACTTATTTATAGTATTATTTTATCCCACATATTAATCTAAAGTATATTCGAGTAATTTTGGTGCAACCTCTCAAATACGAGTATATGGGAATTTTCCCCATAGTTTTGTGAGGCTTGAGCCAAAATTACTCGAATATGCCTTAAATAATTAGTTTAAAGTTACAGAATACAAAGGTTTGAAATTCCCGCTAAAAAAGTTTTATATGGGCCACCACCGTAGCGTTTTTAGTGTACACTCATAAACACGTGTTTCCGTTTTTTAGTATGAAGTTGGCGTTCTTCTCTTGGTAGAGAGTAATTGTGTTCTGTGGGCGAGAGGTACTTTCCCTGGTTTACCAGATATTGTTCCATCTCCCTCGTTATAGGTTTATTTATATTCACAGCACTTAAATTCATACAACAAACTTATTTGTTACTATAAAAAATGTTCTTTTATAATTCAGATGATTAATTAATTTTTCTTGAAAATACATTCTGTGACTAAAAACTACGGGCGGAAACGGCGTAAAAGCAGAATAATCATTCCGTATACAACGGCGCATAGATGATTTTACTAGACAGTCAATAAACTCTTTGGATTTCGACAGCACTAAGTGAAGACGCTACTTATTTATACAAAGTGTGATATCACTAATAAGTAGCAATATCTTAAGTATGTACTTAAATATTAGTAAAGAATAAAAATATTAATTAATAATCAAAAATTTCCTCGTGTCGAGTTTTAAGTTGTTTTTACAATGTTCATAATATCAATAATGTTTTAACCATAGACTTAAAATATACTGGCGTATAGATCACCTGACAGCCCAAAAACGCGTGACCAATTTTGATTTGTTATTGTTGCGTTAGCTAGTGAGGTATATTTTACTTACAAGGATTATCGAAATGATTGTTAAGGAAGCGGTAAAAGGATTTAAAAAAAAGTGTTTAATGCATGAAGTTGAATAACTTCAAAAATTAACTGAATTTTACCATAATAGTTCTAAAATAATTAAAAAGTATTCATATAACATCTTCCTGGAAATAACCTGAACCTACCTGCCTTTTGTTGGATTTCAATTAAAATGTATAAAATCCCAGGTGAATTTACCGATAAACTTAAAAAATTCCCCAATAATCAGATCGGAAAGTTGTATTTTCGAGCTATGATCTTTGGGGAAAAATATTTACTACCGTGGCCAGTTTCCCCGGAATTTCTTTTGCATGCCGTAAGCGCAAAGCACGAGGTATGTTCTACTATTTTAACATATTGTTAATATAAATAGGTACTTACCTTAGTATATGCTTATTTATATTTTATAAAATGTTTTGATGGGGAAATAATAACGGGGGCACGAAGTACATAACGGCTTCTTTATTTTTCATATAAGTATTATTTGTGATAATTATAAACATTTAAT